ATAGCTCTTTGTGATCAGGGTTGCTTTGCTATCTGGAGTCTTTTGTGCTTCCATACGAATTCAAGCATTTTTTTTAAAATTTTGCAAAGTATATCATGGGGATTGCAATGAAAGTATATTTTGCTTTTGTTGTATGATCATTTTTACAATATTATTTCTTCCAATCCATGAGCATGGGAGGTCCTTCTATCTCCTAGTGTCTTCCTCCATCTTTTTCTTTAATGAATTAAAATTTTCATTTATAGATCTTTTATGTCTTTTGTCACATTTGTTCATATATATATGCAATAGTGAATGGGAGCATTTCCCTGTATTCTTTCTCCAATTGCTCATTATTGGCATAAAGAAAGGCTACCAATTTTAGTAGATTGATTTTATAACTTGCCATGATACTGAAAATGTTGATCAATCCTAGAAGTTCTCTGGTGGAACTTTTGGGATCTCTTAGGTATAGTATCATATCATCTGTCAAAAGCGATAATTTGACATCTTTTCCAATTACTGCTCCTTTAAGTTCCTTCTCCTGTCTTATTTCTCTAGCAATAGTTTCAAAGATTATGTTGAAAAGGAGTGGAAATAGTGGAGATCCTTGTCTGCTTCCTGATTTTAACGAGAATGTTTCTAGTATTTCTCCATATAAAATGATGTTGGCAGTGGGTCTGTTGTATATAGCTTTAATTATGTTGAGGTATGTTCCCTCCAGTTCAATGCCTTCTAGGACTTTTAACATAAATACATGCTGAATTTTGTGAAAAGCCTTTTCTGCATCTATTGAGATGATGATCTGGTTCTTGTCTTTCAGTCCATTTATATGATTAATGACGTTTATTTACTTGCATATGTTGAACCAACCCTGCATATCTGGAGTAAAGCCTACTTGATCATGGTGAATGATCTTTTTGATGTGTGTCTTTATGCCGTTTGCAAGTATTTTGTTGAGAGTTTTTGTATCTATGTTCATTAAGGATATAGGTCTATAATTTTCTTTTTTCATTGTGTCTTTACCTTGTTGGGTATTAGAGTGATACTGGCTTCATAGAAGGAATTTGGGAGTTCTCCCTCTGTTTCTATCATTTCTGTTTCAGAAGATTTACTTGATTGGAGGTCTTCTTTAAATGTCTGGTAGATTCTGCTGTAATTCCACCTAGGCCTGGGAGGTTTTGTATAACTGTTTTAATTTCCTCATGTTTTATAGATCTGTTTAAGATGTTAATATCTTCTTGATTTTATATGTTATGGGTCTGTTTAAACTGTTGATCTCTTCTTGGTTAAACTTTAGATACTCATCCATTTCTTTCAGATTCTCAGTGCATGGGTTTGTAAAATATTCCCTTTTAATGGTCTGGATCTTTTGGGTGTCTGTTGTAATGTTTCCCCTTTCATCTCTAATTTTTTTTTTTTTTTTTTTGGATTTGCTCTTTCTTTCTTTTGGTTAACTGAGCTAATGGTCTCTCTATCTTGTTTAGCTTTTTAAAGAACCAGCTCTTAGATTCATTGATTCTTTGTATTTTTTTCTTTGTTTCTATTTCATTAATTTCTTCTCTGATTTTGTTATTTCTTCTCTTCTGCTTAGTTTGGGTTTCATTTGTTCTTGCCTTTCCAGTGTCTTGTGTTGCAGTGTTAGGTCATTTATTTGGGCTTTTTCTCATTTTCAGGTAAGCACTTAGAACTATAAACTTCCCTCTTAGGACTGCTTTAAATGTATCCCAGAGGTTGTGTGCTGTTGTATTGTCCTTTTTGTTGAATTCCAGGAATTCTTTTATTTCTTTCTTAATTTCTCCTTTGACCCACTCATTGTTTAGGAGTGTGTTATTCAATCACCACAAGTTCCTGTAGTGACCATAGCTTTGCTCAGTGTTGATTTTGAGCTTTATTGCAGTCTCATAGAGTGCATAGAATTAATTCACTTTTTTGTATTTGTTGAAATTTGTTTTGTGACCCAGTATTTGGTCAACTTTTGAAATAGTTCCAGTAGTGCTGAGTAGAAAGTGTATTCTTTGGTGCTTGGGTGGAATATTCAAAAGATGTCTGTTAGGTCCACTTGGTGTATGGTGTCATGTAATTCAGACACCTATTTATTCTTTGTTGAATTGACCTGTCTAATGGAGAGAGTGGGGCATTGAAGTCTCAAACTATTACTGAGTTGGGGTTAATCTGTGTCTTAAAGTCCTGTAGTATAGTTTTTATGAATTTGGATGCACCAGAGTTTGGTGGATGTATATCCTGGCAAAGCTGTTTTCCAGACATCAAGGCTGACCTGGGTTGAGATTAACCAGATGACTATACTTGAAAGCCTCACACAAACATGCTGTTCTAACTCGGGCACTTACCGCTTGAGAGACTCCCTCATTTCTCATGGAACTGCCTAGAAAATGTCTTTGTATTACCTTGTAATCATGCAGGTGTAACCTTATAATTGATTTGTGACTTGCTATAGAATTGTGGTGTTACTTTGGAATTTACTCTGTGATCAATTAGTGTGGTGTAATTATGATAACTGTTCTGTTAATAGAATTGCTCTGCCTCAATAGATTTGTCCCTGTCAAGCTTTCCCTTGTCCCTCACTATAAAAACTTTGTGTAGATGTTCAATAAATGAGACTTGATCAGAAAGCCTGTCTTGTCTCCATTCTTCACGTCACTTGTCCCTTTCCGTCCCCTCTCCTCCCTCCAGGTACCCACGTTGACTGTCCTGCGGGTCAGGACAGTTAAGGATTGTAGTATCTTCTTGGTTAATTGTTCCTTTGATCAGAATGAAGTGACCCTCTTTCTCCCTTCTGATTAATTTTACTTTGAAGTCTATTTTGTCAGATATTAGAATTGCAACCACTGCTTATATCTTAGTATGATTTGCTTGAAATATTCCTTTCCATCCTTTTAAATTAAGGAAGTGCCTGTCCTTGAAGGTGAGGTGGGTTTCTTGCAGACAGCAAAGAGATGGTTTTTGTTTATTAATCCATTTACTTAGCCTATGTCTTCTGACTTGGGAGTTCAGTCCATTGATATTTAATGTTACTATTGAAAGATGTGTATTGGTTGCAATCATTTTGATTGCTATTTGTGTTCTCTGTCAAATTTTGTGATTCATAGGTTATACCTTTATTTATTTTCTTTCATTAACCTTAGGATATAGTTGTTTCTCTCCTTGCTCTCTGTATTGCTTCCAGTATTCTTTGAAGGGCTGGTTTTGTGGACAGGTGTTCTTTCAGGCTATTTGTGAAATGGGAGATTTTTCTTTCCCTCCCAAATATAATAGACATTTTCCTGGGTAAAGGTATGCAGGCTAGCATCTTTCGTCACGTAGAACTGCAAATGCCTTGGTCCAGGCTCTTCTGGCTTTCATAGTTTGCATTGATAAGTCAGCTGTAATTCTAATGAGCTTTCCTTTGTATGTGACTTCTTGTTTTTCTTTTGTTGTTTTCAGTATTCTCTCTTTGTTCTGTACATTGAGTATTTTTATTATGATATGTCATGGGGAGTTTCTTTTCTGATCCTATTTGGTGTTCTATGTGCTTCCTGTATTTATATGGGGATGTCTTTTCTAAATCTTGGAAAATTCTCTTCTACAAACTTGTTTAAGATTTGGTCAATATCATTAACCTGAAATTGTTCTCCATCCTCTATTCCTATGATCCATAGATTTGGTCTTTTCATGGTGTCCTGCATTTCTTACATATTCCATTCCTGTGGCTTTTTTTTTTTTAATTTTCCATAATCTTTGCTTGAGTGGTCCAATTCTTCAACTTTATTCTCCAGTTTTGAAATCTTGTTTTCCATTTCATTTATTCCAGCAGTGAGGCTTTGCTTTCCCTTGTTGCTTCAAGATGGATTATTGAGTTTTTTACTTCCTTCTTCATTTATGCCTGAGTTTTCTTCAATGTTTCTATCACTTTTGTGAATTCATTCAGAAGTTTATTCCTATCTTCTTTTAGTTCTATGACTTGTTTATTCATATGTTCTGTAAATTCATTGAATTCCTTGATAATATTTTCAGTGTCCTGGGTTATCTCTAGGGAGTTCTCCTGGTAGAACTCTTCTACAGGATTGGTGGAGTTTGATGGAGACCTGGTGTTTTGGCTTTCCATTTTATTATTCTTTTGTTCTGATTTTGGCATGTGAATTTCTTTTGTTGTTTATGATTCCAATATGAGAATTAAGTTGAAGTATACTTCTGTTTGTATTATCAGGGTGCCTAGATAATTTTTTTGTTGATTATGTAAAACTGGTTGGTACAGGTTTCAGGTTCTTCCACGTTTTATTTTGGAGGGAACTGATTGCTTCAGATCAGCTATTCAGGAGTACCCTGAAGGGAGGGAGGGCCAGAACTCAGCACTCTCTGTCCATGTGCTGAGATCACAGAGGCTTCACTAATGGCAATTGAAGCCCACCCTCTCAGGTTCCCTGCTAGGATCTCAGCCATAGCCTACCAAAGCCAGGTCTTCCCTGGGGCTTTTGGTAGGGCCTGACTAAATCCCAGGTAGGAGAATTGGGTATGGCACAATTACGGGAAGCTCACCACCCCATACAGGCAGGATCAGAATGCTCTCAGACAGTCTCCTGTGTTCTCATCCCCAATACTAGAAGGAGGCCCAAACCCAGCACTCTCTGGTGTCTGCTGTTACACCAATGGAGGTCCGAACCCACCCTCTCCAGAACTCACTAATTTTCATATGACGATTTGTCAACTCATAATGCAAGTGTGATTTCGTCTTAAAGATTTAATTTTATTAAGTCCCAACATTTTTATCTGTAGAAATGTCATTTCTTTCTGTATAACAGAAAATCAAAGAGCACTTGTGTAAGTATTTACTTCCTTAATCTGCACATTAATTTCTGTAAAAGTAGCTGGGCATGGTATTCTACCACTTGGAGGTGAAGAAGAGCAGATCTCTGTGAGCTTGACACCAGAGTTACTTACATACATACTTACATACAGAGTTACGGACCATCCAGGTCAACAGTGAGAACTTGTCTCAAAAATAAATTTGTAAGTATACCATTTTAAAATTTATCAGAAAACACCATGAATCTCCTCCACATTTTTCTCATGGATTTTTTCATTTCTTTATTCCTGAAAGTATAAATTATAGGATTAAGTAAGGGGGTCACCATGGCATAAAATATAGCCACCTTATTCTCAAAAGAAGATGCAAATGTGAGTCGTGCATATATAAATATGCAGGGGACAAAAAACAAAACTACGACAGCATTGTGGGATCCACAGGTAGAGAGAGCTTTCCACCGCCCTTCTAAACTATGACCTCTTAGATTAAACAAGATGACACCATAGGAGACAAGCAAGAAGGAGAAGATGATGATGCAGATAGACCCGCTGTTGGCAAGCACCAAAAGGCCAAAGATGTGTGTGTCAGTGCAGGCAAGCTCCAGCAATGGGAACAAGTCACACATGAAGTGATCAATGACATTGGGTCCACAGAAGGGCAGCTGCAAAGTGAAGACAATTTGAATGATAGAGTGCAAGAAACCTCCTACCCAGGCTATTCCTATTAGAGTGCCACAGAGTCTCCAGTTCATGATGGAAGAGTAGTGCAGGGGCTTGCAAATGGCCACGTAGCGGTCATAGGCCATGGCTGTCAGGACAATCACCTCCACTGCACCAAAGAAGTGGACACCAAAGACCTGTATCATGCAAAATTCAAATGAGACAGTCTTCTTCTCATTAAGCATGTTCAAAATTAACTTTGGTATTGTGACCGAGGAAATGCATGCATCCAGGAAGGACAGGAATGCCAAGAAAAAGTACATGGGGGAGGTCAGCAGTGCAGGGCTGCAGATGATGGTCACCATAATCATCATGTTGCCCCCCACAGTTGTGATGTAGACAAACAATAATACTACAAATAATATTTTCTGAACCTTTGGATTCTGTGAAAGTCCCAGGAGTATGAACTCAGTTACAGATGTCTGGTTTTGCATAATTTATGAAAGCTGCAAGTAAAAATGTGTTCCCATGAATTGGCAACATGAGAAAAAAAGAACTTCAGTTAAGTGTACAATTTTATCAGTATTTATTTTACATTGTTATGCAACTTTATGTCAATTAATTGAGACCAGGTTATTAGAAATCTATTGTAGGGAATAGTGGATATTAGAGGAATTGAGGTGGAGATAAATTACTGACTATTTAAAATGCTCTATTTTGTCTGTATGGCTAAAGGAAAACATGTCACTTGTAGGGCAGAAAAGAAATAGTTTGTCTTGAAGTGCCAGTTTTTGTCATTCCCTAAGGACTTAGTGAAGTAAAACATTGGAATGAATTCGACAACTATAAAAACACAGTCAAATTTATTTATCACTTCTGTCACCTGCATGGAACGAAGGGGGAAGAAGAATATGCCCTGTCTAACAATAACTGAAGTGATAAGTTGTAATTTAGAATGCACTTGAAAATCCTGGACACAATTAAATTATTTTAAAGTCCAAAATAGATTGAAAATTCAAATGAGTAATTTTAGTCACCATTACTCAAAAACATCTGAAGAAATGTTATGCTTATGGTCAATGTATTGAGATTTCTTTTTAATTAATCATTTTAAAACATTATCGTAACAACAAAAAAATGCCTGCTCATGATTACTAAGTGACATAGTACAGAGAAATTGCTCAGAACTCAACAGTCAACAGTATGAAACAGGATTATTTTTGCTACTTAATTGGTGATAAAATTATAATTAAATAAATCAAGTTTAGGCAAATAAAATATGCTTGATCTAGGACTAAAGTGTCTCTAACTACAATATTCATGACCTGTCCATGGTCCAATAAGGGAATGAGTGGGATTTTCTTTTTCAAGCAAAATCTTCAGAGTAGGGATGGTCTTTCTACACTATATCTGCAAAGGAAAAAGTGATTTTTTTACTTCCTTTGTGAATGAATACTGCATTTTGATAAAGGCACCAGAGGAAAACTAGGCAACAGCCTAATGTCAACACATGCAAATTGGCTATAGGCACACAGGTAACAAAGGGAAACAATAAGTTTCAAATGATTTAGTCTTGGAACTTAATTCTCCAATTATTTTTACAATATGATCTTGGGAAATATAATTCTTAAAGATACATGAATTTAGTATAAATAGATGTTCATAAATAGCTTCCCTTTCATTCTAAAGATAGGTTGAATTTGAAACTTTCAAAATTTTAGGCATAAAAGCATATCTTACAATTCCAGGTGTAAATGCCACTCTAGAATACCCAGCTGCCTTACCCACAGGAAACTCTTCCATGAATCCTCATGATAAATACACTAATTCTTGAATTCATTTTCCTCAGGTAGTCAAAGCTTCAAAAGGGTCTCTCCTTTCCTCTCCGAAAAGTAACATTAAAAATATTTTTGAATAGTTCCATTTACTCACATGCATGTTTGAATATATATGCTTGTGTATGTATTTGCTGTTAAAAAATCTTTTCATAAAAGAATAAAGTGTTTGTACCAAGAAGAACAAATGGGCTGATTTTAATCATTGTCCCTTAGAATATATAGACATAATCTTCCCTGTTTAAAAAATAAGCATATGCATAATGTACGTTTATGTTAAAGCAACCATTTCCATGTTGTTAGGTGCATTCCTTTTCAGGGTTTGTGATACAAACCTCATGTCCTCTCACAGGTTCTAATCAAGGAAATAACAGTATTAATAAACTCTACAAGAGTACTAGATCAGGTGACAATCATTTATGATAGATTAAAGAAGCTCAATTTACATAACTTAGCAGTGGGTACTTTAAACTAGGTTAGAACAGGATATACAAAAAATTGAAATATATAAGATCAAATGGCATAATATACACACATGAGAATATTATCACATGATGAACCATGTTGTGCAGTGATAATACATGTGAATAAGGACAGTTCTATCCTTGATACGTGTGTTCTGGTCCAGTTCTTCTACCTGGTCTGCTGCATGGATCTGGTTACATAATTGTCTCTACAATTCTATATGCCTCAGATTTCACTTCTATAAATATGTGTAACAGGAAGTGTGTCAATAGATTTTTTGTGAAAAGCACAACAAGATAATGATAGAATCTGAAGCTCAGGAGAAGATGATTTGCACTGTGAACAAGTTGCCCCAGACAGTGACACAGAGTAGAGGACTTTTTTAGTTACAGTTCTTAGTTTTGAACACTCAAAGCTAATTGACTTCTTTCAAATTCATTCACAAACATAAAATATTTTGTTTCATATAATGTCCTCCTTTAGGGGGGCAGAAGGACCCCAGTCAAACAACTGAAGGGGTTGCTGCAAAGAGTTACTCCAAGAACATCCCGGGGACAGTGTCAGTGGGCAAATCCATTTATTAAAATAACATGGAGGCTTATATAGAAAACTATAGGGTGATGATGCATCACTTGCTCTGAGCCTATCTGCTGCCACTACATATAGCACCTGCTTCCATCCAGCTGTCATGTGACTGAGTGTGTCGGAGTCAGCTGCCAACCATAATGTTCTAAAGCCTCTGTGCCTGGATGTGGGCTTGGCATGCCTGAACCCATGACTGATTCCAGTGAATCATGACATTTTAAATGCTCAAAACTTTTAATGTCCTCAATAATTCATCAGTGCAATACTTTGTCCCTACCTGCAGCTATTTCTGCTTCAGGTAGCCAATTGTGCAAAACAAATAAACTATACCCCAGATCTCAAACGAATAAACTCCAAACCAAACTGTATAAGAGGATCAAAGAAACCAAAGTCATGTGCTTATCTAAAAGTTAATAAATATATTCTTCATATCCTAGTTAAGATATTCATTAGCTACACAAAAACTGACACCTTAATTTTCTATGCTATCAATTTCCCAAATTCATGCTACAGTATCTACAATGAAGAATATAGTCGTGTTCTATGATGACAATGTTTATATTTTTAAATCATTTAAAGAAAATTGACCTCAGAGACTTTGTTGTCCTACAGTGAATAGTTCAAAACAAAAGGGGTAATATTTGAAATTTTACTTAAATTTGAAATTTAATAAGGAGTAATGTATTCTAACTTACTTTATAATCTTGACAAATGAATCATAGTGAAGCAGTGTGTGTCAAATGAAACCATCTGTAATCTTCCCTACTAATTATTCCTCTTAATCTAAAATGAGACCAGATAAAATGTAATTTGTTAGCTCTGTTGTCACAAAGACAGGAAAAATAATTATATTGCTTTATGTCCATGTACCATTGAAGGAACTTCTACAATCAATGTTTGGGTTCATTAAAATAAAAGAAAGTTCCTTGTTTCTTTGTATAGGAGATGAGTTAATGGTCAGGTAATCCAAGCTGGAATAATTTACCAAGTAGCCCAGGATGAGCTTGAACTAGTGATACTTCAGTCTCCATCTCTCTAGTGCCAGGATTACTGGCTTATGCCACCACACCCAGGCAAATTCACAGTTCTTACTAATGCAATCTACAACCTATAAATCAAAAGGAAAATATAAATATTGATCCTAGAATTACACAAACCAGGGCTGAAGAAATGGCTCAGTGGTTGAAAGGACTGGCTGCTCTTGCAGCAGACCCAGGTTTGATTCCCATCACCCACACGGTGGCTAACAACTGTCTGTCTGTATTTCCAGTTCCAGGGGAATACAATGCCTTCTTCTGACTTCTGTGGGCATTGTGCAATACAGGTAGACCTGTCTACATGTAGGCAATACACTCCCTTACACACACACACACACACACACACACACACACACACACACACAGACCAAAATAAAAAATTATATAAACCCAGGCCTTAAGATTTTATTATAAAAATAAAATCAGATGGTGAAATTTTACATCCGAATATGACAAAGTGAGGATATTACTGAAAACTGGAAAATACATGAAATATTCATTTATAGGAGTGTTTATGCAAATAGGAATGTTATAATTACTATTATAAAGAATTATAACAAAGTCACTAAAGTATAAAAGTGTCAAAGTATTTTAATAGAATGTTAAAAGAAGAAAAATAAATTTCCATTTATAGATATTGTAATTTATAATCTTGAAAGGAACACATAATAAGAACAACATTTGTTTGTAATATATACCATGTTGCTATTATCAGAATACTTAAAATTAGTATTAAGATTAGAATACACTTGTACAAATTTCCTTTAAACTTCTAATATACATAAGGTTTGGCAGTCATCCATTAGGATTGTGGAACTCAGAAGCTAATATTGCACACATCTTACATTGACATTTTAAACTATTCTAACCGCCCCGTCAATGGTCAGAGCATGTATTCGGCTCTCAATATACTCCTTGATATAGATGCAAATCCACATTCTTATGTTGGAATCTACTCATTCTCTCCATATATCTCCCTAGAACATTCCATGACTTTTTACTAACAGCCATACTCTTGCATAATAAAGGCTGATCCTGATCTTGCTAAGGGCCCCTGAAAGTTGAAATTCTGGTCACTGAGTCATCTCCTGGAGCAGTGTATGGGCTGCCGTATTCCTCACTGTGCCCCACTGTCTAAATTATACACAACTTCCTTCCAATTAATTTAGCAGCAAAACTATCTGCTGAAAACAGTGTTATGCAGACAGCAGAGTTTATTTTTCAATGTGAAGTGTGTACAGCATTCAAGTCTATCAGTAGAATGGGCAGTAGTTTTCCATTAATAAATATAAGTTTCAAGCAAATTCAAACAATAAATATTGTTATTATAAATGAAACAGTACACATACAAATGAAATAATAACAAGATTTAAGTTGAAATTTTCCTTTTTGTTAAATTATTTATATAATCTTTTTTCTATTTAAAACAATGTATGATTTTTCAGCAGCACTGATACAACTTTTAATTAAAACCTATAGAGAAAAATAGTGAATTTATCAGTGTTTCCATATTCCTAGCATGTTACTTTTTGAGGTTCAGGGACAATGAAGCAGTGTTCCCAGGAATTCTCA